TTTCCCTTTGTTAAAAATGCGTAATGCGTGAAGTGGGTCGAAAGAAGTGTGTTGCACCTTTTCTCTTTTTTATGGTAAATGGTAAATTAGTTATTGGAAAGATATGGAAGGTTTTTAACCTTTTTAAATAAGCCTAGTTGACATTTTATCTGACCTGTACATAACAATTCAGCTATTTGCTATTAGATATATTTTAGCTGCAAGTCGATTGATATGAATTTTTAAATGCTAAACAAAATTGTACTTGACTTTTTCCATAACATCAGCAACTATTTCAGTAACTTAACTCATACAAATCATAACAGCTGCCATTTGGAAATGTTAGTGTTATTTATAGTTTACCAAACTTCATCAATATATCTTTAATAGTTTCAACAATACAAATTTTAAACAAATTTATCTCACTAATTTTGTGTTTTTGAAAGTTCTAAGAGACTTATAAGAGTCTCAAGTTAATCATAAGTTAAGTCTAACTCATTAAAATGTTACTCTTATTAAAATTTACGAAAGGTGCACTTTACGGATACGTGCAATGGGTAAATAAGGGAAACAAAAGCCGTCTTAAAAAGTTGTCAATTTGTCGGACCGTGAAACGATAATTTTGTTGAACACTTTAAGCTGCTTTAGTCTCCGATTAAGATTGAAAGATTTTCAAAACTTTCACAAACCCTAGTTTGGTAGGTTTCTTTTTTACATATTTTTTTATCGAAACTAATATTTTTATATTTGTTTTTATAACTAGTTATCTTTTAGAAGTGATCATAAATCGAAATAGTAGTATCATTCTCTCATTTTACCATCACTTGATGCATGATAACCAAGTAGCTTATGTCTTCAGTAAGTCACTCAGGCTTAATAACTCATTCAGGAAAAAATTGTACTACTAATTTACTAATTTAGTGGTTAAGTTGATTGGTATAACCAAGCTGTAAAAATTATTGTTGACTAGCTTTGTAACTGAGTACTAAGTTGTAGCATTCACGCTATTGATAGGAACAGTAGAAGGGTTACTAATAGTTACTTTTAGTTGTAACTATTGATTAGTAGAGTTGGAAATTACAAGAAGTGATTTATGTTTTCGGAGTATACTAGCTGTACCCGCGGGCTTTGCCCCGTTTAACTTCTTAATTTTCAAGATGATCTCGTTCGCATGGCTCAATCACGTCCTGGTTGAAGTTCGTTCGCTACGCTCACTCACCTTTAGGTTGGAGCTCGTTCGCTGCGCTCACTTGCCTTCAGGTTAGCTCGTTCGCTACGCTAACTCGTCTCCAGGTTGAAGTTCGTTCGCTACGCTCACTCACCTTTTGGTTGCAAATTAGCTGTTGTCATTAATTAAAATAAATAATAGTGCTGCACCCTGTTGGTAATCATTGTAACTTTAATGCAATTGAACATCATAGAACAGAACCAACTTGTTTGATTGAAACAGCTGTTAAGATTCATTAATTCCTTTTAAATATGAAAAATCATAAGGCTAACATGGGAAACTCCAGAGCCACTGGGGCGGAGCCCGAGAGTCCGATCAGAATAAAAACAACTTAGTTTTCCTATTTAATGCCTAAAGAATCAATGTACCAAATTTCAGCCTCCTAGGTAAATGGGAAGTGGGAGAATTAGTGATGAGTGTGTCAGTGAGTCAGTGAGGGCTTTGCCTTTTATAAGTATACTAGTTGAACCCGTGCGAATTCGCACGAATAATAAATTAGGATATTATAGCAACGTTGTTAGAAGTTGCCATTGTATCGACGTTGGTCTTGAGCTCGATCGTTGGCTATACACATTCTGAGTTCTTTTTGCTGTTCAGTAGCAGTATTTTGTAGGACGGAGTTCATCATGCTGAAAACTTGCGCGTATGGATTAATATCAACCAAATGTTGAGTCAAAATGTGTATGATTTCAGTGCTGCAAGAGCCATTAGCTTTGTTTAGCATTCTTTCTTGAACAGCGGTTTCGACGTCGTAGATATAAATTTGGATATGTGGGATGCTCCCATCTGACGGTTGAAAGGTGACAATTGAGGCTAAATTGTGTCGTGCACCTTATACATAAAAGGCCCTCCACCATTATGTTCTTCAATTTTAGCTCGAGTGCTGACCATTGCGAGCGCAGAGTTGTACGATCTAATGTTCTCTTTGTAGTTTCTGCTCAAATGATTTGCTCCATTAAGTAGGCTCTGGATATAATAGATTTCTCGGTATGGTGGTAGGTAGATTCACTTTTCCTTTATGCAGGATGTAAACCCTTCGTCTCGTACTCGTTGTTCTTCTTTAAAATGTAGCGTACCACATTTCTGACATTTTCATGCCATCTAGCGAGTGAATGCTGCTGAATTCTTGTATTTGTCAGTGTAATTTTGTAAGTACACGTTGCCACTAACTGTTCCAGCTCCTCGTCTGGGCTCCTTACGTGCTTCATTGCTTGCCGTATGTTGACTTGCAGTGTCCGACCCAGGGCTAGTGTCCGACCAGCAATATTTCTTTGTCGTCGGGTCCTTGTTATGTTAAAACGAAAATGAAATGTAAAAATTTTCTCCCGTCGTGTCCTATAGGTAACATTTCTTTGCCGGGTTGCTAATTATTTTAAAAACATGCAAACTGTTTACATTTAAAAACCAAACGAAACAGCTGGGATTTTTTTTACTAATGTATTGACATCTGTTTTAGAATATAATAACATTCAAATCAATCACAATGTTATCCTTATGGAAGGAACTTTGAGGGCAGCCCACGACCCTTAAACAGATATATTTCGAAAATCTAAAGCCAGTTTGCACATCTACACACCTAGACGAAGATTTTGGTATATAGTATGTGTGGTGAAATCTTAAAACAAAAAAGCCTTATTGTTCACAAAGTTTCATGTCGCGTATTAAATATATAGATTCAATCATATGTTCGAAAGACAGATGTAAATATTTTTTGAAGGAATCACAAATTTTTTCTAAGATAAGATATTGGAAAATGTTTTGAAACTAAAGTTCAGAGTCAGCTCAACTCAACATACCCTCCGCCCGAATAAAAGTATAGCCCGATATTATACCGATAGCCCAAATAAAAGTAGATTATTTAGACAAAAACAAAACAAAAAACTAAAAGAAACGAAAAAACGAAAGTTGATATCTATACTCAATTCTAATTACGTTATCCTATTTATTTTCATATAAGAACCTTCGGTAAAATTCCGGCATCATTTGTGTAATTAATTATGATTATTAAGATTGGCATAGTGCTGAATCACAAACAAACCAAATGGTTCCAAAATAGAATTACCTCAACAGTACCTGTTGATTTCGACGGGTTTAACCTTGTATTTTTTTTTGTATTTTGTATATTGTATCTTAAACCGATGCTTGTTGTGAAATCTGGACATGCATAACAAAATCTGGACATGCAATTTGAAAATTCAACCATGAAAATTGGTCGAGTAGAAGAGCCAAACGAACTGGGAAATGAAAAACTAAATTTAACTACCAATAGAGCAAATTTATTTTACGTACAATCCGGGTTTGGACTGTAGCTACATATATTCCAATGCTTGATGGGACATCTGTGCGTACATACCCTCAATTTGAGACCTCAATCTTGAAAATCGGTCGGTTAGAAGAGCCAAACGAACTCGGAAAAGAGAAACAAAATTTAACTTCTATAAGAAATACATGGAGAGGAAATTTTTTTTACGAATAAACCAAGTGGGGTTATAGATAAATATTTGCCGATGCTTGATGGAAAATCTGTGCGTGCATACCTTCAATTCGAGACCTCAATCATGAAAATCGGTCGGGTAGATGAGCCAAACGAACTCGGCAAAGAGAAACAAAATTTAACTCCCATAAGAAATACATGGGGAGCAAATTTCGTTTACGTAGAAATAGCGTGGAATTATAGATACATTGATGCCGATGCTTGATGGCAAATCTGTACGTGCATACCTTCAATTCGAGACCTCAATCATGAAAATCGGTCGAGTAGAAGAGCCAAACGAACTCGGCAAAGAAACCCCAAATTTAACTCCCATCAGAAATACATGGGGAACAAATTTCGTTTACGTATAATCCGCGTGGGATTATAGATACATTTATGCCGATGCTTGATGGCAAATCTGTGCGTGCATAACTTCAATTTGAGACCTCAATCATGAAAATCGGTCGGGTAGAAGAGCCAAACGAACTCGGCAAAGATAAACCAAATTTAACTCCCATAAGAATAACATGGGGAGCAAATTTCTTTTACTTATAAGCCGAGTAGGATTATAGATAAATATATCCCGATGCTTGATGGCAAATCTGTGCGTGCATACCTTCAATTTGAGACCTCAATCATGAAAATCGGTCGGGTAGAAGAGCCAATCGAACTCGGCAAAGATAAACCAAATTTAACTCCCATAAGAATAACATGGGGAGCAAATTTCTTTTACTTATAAGCCGAGTAGGATTATAGATAAATATATCCCGATGCTTGATGGCAAATCTGTGCGTGCATACCTTCAATTTGAGACCTCAATCATGAAAATCGGTCGGGTAGAAGAGCCAATCGAACTCGGCAAAGATAAACCAAATTTAACTCCCATAAGAATAACATGGGGAGCAAATTTCTTTTACGTATAAGCCGAGTAGGATTATAGATAAATATATGCCGATGCTTGATGGCAAATCTGAGCGTGCATACCTTCAATTTGAGACCTCAATCATGAAAATCGGTCGGGTAGAAGAGCCAAACGAACTCGGAAAAGAAAAACCAAATTTTTTTAATATATAAGATGTGCAAGCCATCAAAGACTATATCTCGAACAATGTAAAAGCCAAATCAAAGTTTATTTGGGAAATTTTAACCTTAATATATCAACCACTTAATACACTGACTGGTTCTTTGCTAAAGGATAAAAGCCAAACCTCGAAAGTATTATGCTTGATTCAAAAGTGTTAACACTAATCGTGTGGATCACCATGGAAATAAACAATCGAACATTTTCTTCCGATGGATATTACTTTAAAAAAGACGATGTCAAGAGATACAGAACATTATTATTTATCACAGTCACATTACATTATTACTAAAACATGAAAGCAATTAGTAGTTTTTGTAATACTTTGGTTCAACTCGATAAAAAGTCTGCAGATGATGTTCCCTGGCGGCAGCGACCTCGTGAGTGTCTGCCAGGTATCCAGACATGAGCACCACGGGCTTGGCGAGGGGTCCGTGGTAAGACACCACATGATGGGAGTGTCCATGGTCGGTGCCGTAGTCTGAGGCGTATCTGCCACTGTAGTAGTCACCGTAGCCTCCATGAGCCTTGGCCTTGGCTACAGCGGCGAAATGCTCAGCCTTAGCAGCAGCCACCTCGTGAGTGTCTGCAATGTGTCCGTCATGCAGGACGTGTGGGATGGCGGTAGGTCCGTGGTACCTTATGTCTCCATGATGGCCGTCATACCTGTAAGAACCACTGTATTCCTGGCCGTGACCGTATACGTAGTCTCCTCCGTAGTGAGATTCCTTGGCTAGAGCGGCGAGATGAGCGTTCTTGGCTGCTGCTACCTCATGAGTGTCTGCCAGGTAGCCGTTGTGGAGGACGACAGGCTTGGCGGTGGGACCGTGGTAGTAGCTGCAGTACACACTCTGGGCGTACAAGGCAGCAACAAGCATCAAACTCTGCAATAATAATTATAATTGTATACTAACTATTTTAGTGACAAGATTACTGTATGTAAAATAGGAATAGGATTACATTCATTTACTGAAATAATATAAACAAGAGTATATAATTGTGTTATTTATTGCATGTTAGTACACGATATAAGAGCAAAATGCAGTGACATCGATCTCGGTTAGTTATGTAATATATGCAAATAGGTTGTGTTTGAACAAGGAGTAAGGTGGACGAAAAATATAGTTGTCCTATTAAAATTATAGGTGACAAATTTTGGATGTATATATATGCAATATGTGAATGATTGTGACAAGTAAACGTGAAAAATATAAATCGACCGGGTTGGAATTTATTGGTATGATGATAGCTCAAATTTCTGATTAACATATAATATGTCTTATCCCAAAACTCCTTTCGGGCACCGCCCCAGTGGTTCTGGAGTTTCCCATGTTAACCTTATGAGTATTCATACTTAAAAGGAATTAAAGAATTGTGTCGGCTGTTTCAACTGCACAAGTTATTTCTATGATATTAAATAGCATTATAAAGTTATAAGGTTTACCAACAGCACTATTATTTTTTTGCATTTATGACAACTAACTGATGAAAGCCGTGGTGTACAATTAGAACTATACTTTTATCGGTGGTGGTGCAGTGGCAGAACATTAGGCTATGGTAGATGTGATATACTATAGCATACCGTATAAATTAAAAGAACCGAATTTTCATAAACCGTGTCCTCTCCGATAACTGCAATAAGCATTTTATATTGATATGGCAACTCCGTACAAATGATGGGTACTCTGCTAGTAAGAAATATAAGAATCAATATGACAATTTTTATATACATGCATAGCACTTACAAATAAAAATAAAATAGAGGTCAAATATATATCTCCAATGTATTACATCAATGTTCATTTATAAATTAATTACACCATGACTTGTGAAGTAAATCGAGGGGTCTTAAAAAAACAATTCTTCAATGCATTGTAAAAAATCCTACTGGGCCAATTATAACTAAGTCAATTTCCTTCATTAGGTAACTCACCAGAACAGTGTTCATCGTATAACTGTTGTATGCAACTGATGGTCTGTCAGAGAACCGAGAGTGTTTAAATAAAGTCAATGTTGTGTAACACATCCTCAGTCCTCAGGCGGACACGTGAAATATGTGAAACGGCAACCATCATCAGGGATAAAAGAGGAGGAAATTATGTGACATTTTCATAACTTTAGAATAGCTGTAAAATTACCCACACTGAGTTTGGGTTTTATGATTTTTTGCGTATTAATCCATCTATTAATTATATACTTTTAAATTAATCCCTAATTTAATCGTCTTGATTAGCCTATAAAACTTAGATTTAGATTATGAAAACTAAAAATAATTATATAGCATGGATTCTAGTTTTATTCTAGTAACGAATAATTTATTTCATACCTACTCTAAGCAAAAGCATACTTTCAGCTGATTCTACATATGTTTCACATATTATAAAAACATCAAAAACTCAATCTTAAAGTAAACCACGTTCCTTTCC